GTGTGACTGTCCCTATGTTCATCTGTTGTAACATAAAAAATAAGAAGGTAGCAACTGAAACGATGTTGTTGGATCACCTCTAATCAATTTTAATGTCTGCTCACGTGACCTCCATGCCTTCATATAATTCACTGATACTCCATATTTGTGCAACATGTCATTTGAGATATCATTAGGAGTGTATATTGTACGTGAAGAAATGTATTTATACCTGATGTAGTTTGACACCATTGAGCTAGATGCTTGTCGATGAGATCCTAAAACAATGTTCATTGAGCATGTGTGACCATTATAGATTTCCCTGATCTTAAACATTTTCGTTTCTCCCAAGCGTGAAGATCTAAATATCCACTTGCAATCATCTTGGGAACACTTTATTACGTACTCTTTTTTGTCCGATCTCAACACCTTATATTCAAATTTGTTTTGTATGGCATAGAGGGCCAAGCTCATTTTCAGTACTTCCTTATTGCGGAAAACATTTCCCTCCACTACTTCTCTAGCATTTGCTTGAGATATCAATGTCACATCTTCTTCAATGTTTCCGTTCTCAATTGTAGTAACCGAGTCACATATATCCTGAGCTATTTGTTGTAAAGAAAACACATTAGTCGATGACTCAATGGTAGTAATTGATGACTCTGGGCATTGCAATGCACCTGTTGATTGCCATGAGTCTGTAGTGATAACATCAACTGCAATAGGATAGTTCGATACAATGCCATCCAAAGATCTTAGCCTCAAATACGTTAAGACATTATTATTACTTAGTATCCGAACTGGAGGTAAACTAGAATCCAAAGAATATGTTAATCTCACACCTACTTCTACATGATTAAGCCCCAATTCTGAAATAATAAGGTTAACCAACTTATCATACTTGCACGTATCATTCACTAGTATAAGTGATGTGTGACCTCCATATAACAGGCACACGTTCAAAATTGTCATCCCTGATCACAAACAAATAACAGAATGTCACACTTCATTCACTAAAATCAGGAAATGATCATATGCAATGACATTGATGAATACAGACCACAGATGAAGAAGTCACAGATCTATCAATACAGGTCACAGAAGTTATTTAATGTAAAGAAATTCACATACGGTCAACAAATTTAGTGTCGCAAAGAATCAATTTTCAATGCAATGACATTAATCACAGAATAAACTAATTCTACTTATGGACTGTCAAAGACATTTAACATATATGTCACAATCTATTTAATTCAGTGGTCACAATTAGTCACAATTAACAAAAATATGCACCAATGTGATTGAATCACAAAAACAGTCATAGATCAACACGTTCATGACTGTAAATTGAAAAACAAAAATTGCATACTACCAATGGTTAATGAAAAAATACACGTCACACACTAGGCAAAATATAGTTTATTCTTAACGGCGTGAAATCTCTGATTATGTTTGGACAAATGTTTCAATAGCTTCGAAAACACCCGTTTCTTCAAAATCATAAGCTATACTAAGTAATTATATACTTACCTTCGAAATCAGATAAAAAAACTTCAGTTTCTGCTTTGGACAAATTGAATTCTTCCATACTCGAACTTCGACTTTCTCCAATTAAATGAAAATTACCAGCATATCGACGTTATTGATCGATTGCAGAGAATGCCAGGGAAATTTTCGTGATGTTTTTGGAGAGTTTTTGGTGAATCTGTTGTTTAGAAAGAGAGTTTTTGTGGAACCCGTTTTGTAGAGAGAAAATCTCGTTTGATTATGGTTGGAAAATAAAAAAATGTCTTTAATTATGGCATATTAGTAATTTGTAGAAGATTATAATTTTTTTATCCAAATTTAACGTATATAACATTATATTTTTATATATTTAATATTTTCAATTATCACCTGGATTATGAAAGTTTTAAGGAACTTTGTTAATTGTGAAACATGTTTATATAATATAGTAGATATGTGGTTATCCCTTGTAAATTTGTAAGCAAAATTGGGCCTAATTTTTTAAACAAAAAGGGGCCCAAATAACATAGACGGATGGACCATTGTGATTTATGTGACCAACTGACCATCCTTCATCAGTTCACAACCGGCAGCCCAAAGTGAAAACCAAAAAAAATAAAAAAAGAATAATATATATACGGCCATGCCCCCTCATCGAGTGCTAGCTCCGCACTTGACTTTGTCCCATCTTCATATTCGATGAAGGTTGGACAGGATCGGATTAGAATCAACGAAGGATAAGACATTGCAGGGTACGTTTTTATTTTTTATTTTTACTTTTTTATTTGTTTTATTTTATTTTTTCATGTCTTTTTAGTTAGTGAAAATCCTTACCATTTTTTTCAATTTGTTAAAAATAAGACATGCTCCCTTTAAGAGTGATGATAATTTTTTCTTTTTATTCGATAAAAATCTTAAATTTGAAATGGACTTTAAATGGGGAAAATGTCATGTCCATTTCTCCTCCTCGCCCCTGGACGGCGAGCTAGGGCAGTTGCCTAAGCTGGATTCGTCGGGGAAAATTTATTTTTTGTTTTTTTTTAGCTAATAATAGACAAACTTTTTAGATTATATATATGATAATTTATATTAACAACAAACATTTCTAGTAGCTCAATTGATTAGCCCTTCTATTATTGAATTGGAGGTTTTGTGTTCGAAATTCTTCAAGAGTAATATTTTTTTATAATTTTTGTATTTCAACAATTTTTACCAAAACAATGCAAGGAAAGTGATTCAAACTAGCTACCTTCCTTAAACATATTGACCACTTTACCATCATTGCACTTATTAATTTTTAGCACATAATATAAAAGAAATTATAAGTATACTGCTTATACCTTGATTTTTTATGTATATAGTTGGTTCACTTTTACTCCTCCTGAATCCTTGCTCGGTGAAGTAATTGTTTATTCTGCTATACCACGCTCGTGGAGTTTGTTTTAATTTGTATAGGGCCTTCTTTAGTTTGAGTACTTTATCTTCTTTTTCTCGTACCATGTACCTTGAGGTTGCTCTATATAAATTTTTTCTTCAAGATAGCCATTAAGAAATGCTAATTTGACATCTAGCTGGTAAATCTTCCACTTTTTTATGCAGCTAGTGCAATCAACGCCCTTATAGTGTCAAGACGTGCAACTGGAGTAAATGTTTCAGTGTAGTTGATGCCAAAATGTTGTGAGTATCTTTTGGCGACTAGCCTTGCTTTATGTTTTTGGATAAAGCCATCAGCATTGAGCTTTGTCTTGTAAATCCACCTAACTCCTGTGACTTCTTTGTCTTGAGAAAGATCTACAAGTTCCCAAGTGTTGTTTTTCTCGATCATTTATATTTCTTCATCCATAGCATTTCTCCATTCTAGTTGTTTTAAAGCTGCTTTATAGTTTTCAGGTTCAACGATCATCAAGTTGCAGCTTTGATATATTTTCGATAATCTTCGTGTCTTTCTTGGTGACGATTCTAGTGAGTCAACTGGTTCTTCTATTGTTGCTTGTCGTGAGGACTCTGGCTGATTG